TACGGCTCCTACACAGGAGGATTCAGTTGAAAAAGAACAAATGGCCTCCTTCCTTTTTCTTTTGTTTTCTTTTTTCTTTTTTTCTTTTTTCTTTCTTTCTTTCTTTCGTTCCTTCTTCCTTCCTTCCTTCCTTCCTTCCTTTTTCTTTTCTTTTCTTTTCTTTCTTTTTTTTTTTTTTTTGAATTTCTTTACTGCTGGATCAGGTATTACATGGTGTAATAACCCCTCACATGTTTTTCAGTGATTGATGATCAAACTGCTCAGTTGTTTAATCTAGCATTTTAGAGTCCTTGATACTTTTTAACAAATTCATTGGAATCAAGCCTTTGCTAGTGAATAAAAGAAGTGAAGTAAAGCAATAATTTAGGTCAGGGAACACAAGGCTTTATCTGTGTTGCCAACTCCAGTCAATTGATGGGTAGTTTCTGTCTGAAGGATTTTGATGTTACTTCCAAGCTCTGTGGGAAACATTACTACCAAGGTAATGTGTGGTTCATGATGTGTGGGAGTTAGGTGATGTAAGGAAGTGAGGGGAGAGGATTCCTGGCAGAGGACAAAATGCATGGAAGAGCATGGTATATGTGGAGGGCAGGGGAGAGAAAGAAGGGTAAAACTGCAATAAATTCAAGATTCCTGAAGCCAAAAGTTTCAAAATATGAAGCTGTGAGAGATGAAAATATGAAGCATGCAGGGTTGTCTATGCTCAGTTTAGGAGCTTGGATTTTTATCTAGTTGATTAGTCAGAAGGTTTTAAGCAGGGAAGTGATGGGCTTGCTTGGCTTAGAGTTTTGAATGATTGTAGTCATGATGGTTTTGGGGGACACAAAGTTCAGATAGAATTTGTAGGGTATTTTCAGGGTTTTTTGCAGTATTCCAAGATATAGATAATATGGGCCTGAACAAGGATTGCTAATAGGAATGGGAAAAAAGTAAAGAAAAATTTAGCAGGAAATTTTACACATGGCTAGAAAAGGAGGAAGAAGCAAGAAGCAAAGCTTGGGAGACTGGATAGGCAGTGAACAGTATAGATGATGTATTAAAAATATATTTATAACTAAATTCTAAGTGTTTAGGCTATACTATAGGACATAATATTACAGAACATCGAACTACCTCTTCATTACTCCCTTTTAGTAGAGGAAGACATTCGTATAAATCATTTTTTAAATGCATGTCTCCTATTTATGAGGGATACTAGAAAGCAAACTATATAGGGTATGAAACCAAGGAATGTATTATATTTTGGGTGATTTCTACATCTCTCTCTCTCTCTCTCTCTCTCTCTCTCTCTCTCTCATCTATCACAATAAGAAATAATATAGTCCATCATAAATAAAAAATATAGCACAGAAAAAAAATATAGCACAGAGAATAAGTGTCTCAAGTACATGGTGGCATTATTGTCAAACCCAGAATACTTTTAAGAGTTGGAGTTGTAGGGGCAACTAGATGGATCAGTGAGTTGAGCATTGGACTGATTTTGGCTCAGGTCATGATCTCAGGGTCCTGGGACCAAGCCCCATGTTGAGCTCTGGACTCAGCGGGGAGTCTGCTTTAGGATTCTCTCTCCCTCTCCCTCTGCCTCTCCTCCTACTCTCTTACTCTAAGATAAATCAATATACATATTTTTTAAATTAGTGAGAGTTGTAGGGAGTGAGTAAAGAATTAAAATTATTAAAATTTAAAAAATTAAATAAATATTTATTAAACAGGTTTTTATTACATTGATCAAATTATAAAATATTTTAAAAACTATTTGCAAAAATAAAATTCTAATAATAATATTTGGTTAAAAATTTAAAAAAAACTTAGGATAAGAATAAAACCAGACGGGACACCAGAACAACAAGCATAAAATAGAACTATCCCTAGCAAACAGGAAGCATGGTTACTCAATTTATGAAGTCAGAAGTGGATTCTACATGTGAATTCCTGGTGAAATAGTTTCATTATCTTCTTTTTTTTTCGTTCATTTCTGCTAGATTTGCAGCAGAGAATGCACAGATGGTTTATGCCACAAATGCACTCATACTCTAGAGGTTGTTAGGTAAATCTGTGGTTTCCACATCTCAGCTGCTATTCTAATATTGTACCCTCCATCATTGCCCTAAAAAGAGTGACTGGCTGGCTCTGAGTGTAGTAGAATATTCTGCTCGTTGGGAAAGTAACAATATAGGAATATACCCAGGGGCTGTGCTGGATACATTTGACATTTGGGAAGATACAAAATGTTGGGGATCTTTTTCCCCCAGGGGGAAAATTACTGCAACTTTCTGAATTTCAGAATGTTGGATCTGGGACCCTCAGATTTGATGAATATTTTTGTTTATAATATAGGACTAGGTTAGGTTGCCTGGGTGACTCAGGGGGTTAAGTGTCTGACTCTTGGTTTTAGCTTAGGTCATGATCTCAGGGTGATGAGTTCCAGCTTCACACTGGGCTCTGAGCTGGACATGAAGCCTACTTAAGATTCACTCCTTCTCTCTCTTCCTGTCTCTCCCCTCCCTGCTCATGCATCATGCACTCTATAAATAAGTTAAATAAGATATATATATATATATATATCATATATATATATATATATGATATATATATATATATAAAAGCAAGCAAGCAAGCTAGGTTGAAAGAGGCAAGAATAGAATTATTGACCTCTGGTCCTTATGGGCAATCTGGAATCTATTTCTCATTAGTCCACAGCTTTTCTTATCAGCCTTTGGCCTAGTAATTATTATTTTTTATCTTTCAAAAATAGTTACTGCAGAGAAGGAAAAAATACTCCTTATGCCCTTTTAGTATTCGGTTTCTAGAAGAACAAACACTTTAGAGTCAGAAAAATGTGCTTTAAACTTTAGGCATATTAATATCTCCTGAGTGTCAAATTACTCGAATCACCTTATCCAGTTAGAAAAATATTGTAGAGTTTGTGATAACATTGTGGTCAGGATTAAGTGAGACAATCTAAGTAAAGTGCCTAGCACAGTGTTTGACAAACAGTAGATGACCAATAAGTGGCAGCTATAATTATTACAGAAGGTATAAAAGGTTTCCTGTTGGTGAGGCCAGATTATTGTCACATAATCTCTTTTATCCTCCATTTCAGCCTCCTTCCCACTCCTTCCTCTCCCTACCCTTACCAGCTCTACTCCAGTACTTGGGACTCTCATGATGCTGTTTGCCCTTTTTTCTAGTTTAACATCTTTTGTTTCCGAGTTATCTTCCTTATTTCCTTTCTTCCAGACCTTCTAGTCTTATGACTTATACTTTGGTTGCCTGCCATATCTAACCTTGTAGAGGCTCTGTTAATGTCATTTATGCCAAAACGTTAAAAACTAACATCATTTTCATAGGCTAGTTTTGCCAGCACATACATCTATTTTAGTAAAGATCAACATCATAACCTTAGAGAATAAAAATGTGGAACTTACATTGGAGGCATCAGCAATAGACACAGAGGAGATATTTTCAAAGAGAGGCACTCAGTCATAACAACAACAAAAACTAATGAACAGCTTCCATTTAATGGGTGTCTATTTTACACTGAGTTTTATTTTTTTTTACACTGAGTTTTATATGCATTGCTTCACCGAACCCTCACAATTAATAAATTAAGTACAATCATTATTGCTATTTTTCTGATGAGGGAAATATAGTGTGGAGAGGAAAAGTGAATTGTTGAAAGTTATATACACCTATTAAGTGGGAAAGACAGGTTTGGAATGCAAGTCCATCAAGCTTATTACCATCTCTCTCATGCAATCACTTACAGGCCAAATTTTCATCAGGGTAGGTATCTCCATGCTCTTCCTATCATTACTTGCTAGAGCCTAGTGCATGCAATTAATAGTTGGTGCATGAATTAATGAATAAATATCTATTCTGTCACAACCCCCTCTCCATTTTACCTCGTTGGAATCAACTTTTGCTTGGAGACCTTACCTTATCAAATATTCCAAAATTCTGAACTGCCAGTAGTTCATGTATACCATTGTTTCCTGACTTTGTCTCTATCTTGCTGTCTTATCTATAGACCTTGCAATTCCTCATTTTCCCAAAAGTCTCTGAGCTAAGTTCTACTTACCTCAAGAATTCAGGAGTGATCTCCCTCCATAAGGCTTTCCATTTCTCTCACTTCTTCTCCTATCCTCTTCCTCACTGTCTCCGTTCCTCTTCCCACCATGGCCCAACCCAACAGGGTTCTTTCCATGCCTGTGTCTCCCACTAGATCATGATGTATTTGTTTTGTTTTTTTTTTTAAGACAATATATTCTGTCTTTATTTTTTTAAATTTTTTTTTATTTTTATTTTATGATAGTCACAGAGAGAGAGAGAGAGAGAGAGGCAGAGACATAGGCAGAGGGAGAAGCAGGCTCCATGCACCAGGAGCCCGACGTGGGATTCGATCCCAGGTCTCCAGGATCGCACCCTGGGCCAAAGGCAGGCGCCAAACCTCTGCGCCACCCAGGGATCCCAATCATGATGTATTTGAAGGTCGATGTCTGGCATATTTTTTTATCTTTTATTTTGTACCTAACATATTTTCTTTATATGCTTCTGGCCTAGCCTAGTTTATCAATTTGAAGGTACTTTTTGTCATATTTTAACATCTATGAATTCAGGATACATCTTCAGCTGATGGAATCTTAAAATTATAATTGACAGTGTTTTCTCTGACCTAGTGATATAAAAAGAAGAGTTGATTGAGTCCTATAACCAATGGCATCTTAGATTTAACATAATACAGTAATAGATAATAAATAAAAGTTATATAAATGAAGAAAGGAATAGCAACACAGCCCTGCTCAATTCATATTATTATTCCTACTTATATAATCTAGCTGTTCTGCATCATAGACAATGTGACAGGGCAACAGTTGAGCATTATTCTTTATCTATGTTGGGTTTTCCTAGTACAAGTAAGACATAATACACTACCTCAAATTATTCTTAATCATTTCTTTCTGGGTTTACAATATATGTTCCATATGCTTGTCTTCTAGGTGAAATTGATCTTCAAATTCTTTCCAAACTGCAGACTCAATATCCAGGAATTCATATCAACAATGAAGTTGTTGAGCCAAGCGCTGAGCAAATTGCCAAGTATAAAGGTACCTGTAAGCCATGGTGCTCTATGTCAAATCCTATCCTGAAAGGCTTATCAACCCAAATTTGTTCCCTTAGTCATTAACAACACAGTTACTGTGGTATGTTCTTTGTAGCTTATTGGGAGAAGAACATATTTAATTTGTTTTCTTGGCAGACATGACTAACACCTCAGAAATACAAACAGTGAATAATTAGATTTCTTTTTTTACTGACTCCTTCTATTCCCTGGTTATCAACTATTATTTTTGATGTTTATTCTTAGAGACAGTCATTAATTCATTCAGAAATATTTAAACAGAATCCTTGCTCTTAAAGAGTGTGTTTAATGGATTGTAGCAGAAGTCATTAAACTTCTCTGAAAAAACACACACAGTAAATACTTTAGACATAGAAGGCCTCACAATCTCTGTCACAATTAATCAGCTCTATTATTATAGCACCAAGGCAGCCATAGATGATACTGATAAACTGAGTGTTCATATGTTCCAATAAAACTTTATTAATAAACACCAAAGTTTGAATTTTATATCATTTTCACATATCATGAAATACTATTAATTTGATTTTTTTCAATCATTTTAAAGTGTAACAACATGAGACATGAAAGACAGGCATAAAGTCAGGAAGTATAATAGTGTGTTTTTAGTTTGTAGTCTTTTTAGAAATAAGGTGGTGAGCAAGATATAGTCCATGGGCCATGGTCGGCTGACTCCTGGGTTACAGAATCATATCAACTTGTTTTCCAGTGATAAAATTCACCAGTTGATTCCCCATTAATATTGAGATAATGCAACCTATGTCTGATCAGCATTCTCATAATTATTTCTTATTGATTCTTTCTTTTACCTCTAATTTCATTTAATACTAGAAAAAATCAGGGTGAACTCTCTGGTCTTACAGAGCTACATAAAAAAGAAAAATGTGCTTTATATCTGTTATGTATATAACATTGATTGCATTAAAATTCGAAATGGAAATGGATTCTGCATTTGCAATTAAAATTGATGGTGTGCCATCTCTTTTCTGTATTTTAGAGCTTGTAGCCAAGACATCAAACCTCGAGAACATAAAGTTTGCTTGGCATAAGGAGACATCATCTGAATATCAAAATAGAATCAGAGAGAAAAAAGAATTTCAGAAGTGGGACTTTATTCATATGATTCAGGTAAGAAATATTTATTGTTATATATTCTCAGAAAGGAGGTTTTTTTTAGAAGTATGTATGAAGAATGTCTAATATTCTACCTTTAGGAAGAAAACTGAAAATCTGATTTCTGATTTTACAAGTGAGCATTATCTACAGAAACTGAGGATAAATATGTTGATAGTACTGGGATAGTCTCTGTAAAATTAAAAAAGCCAGTTCTTTATACTCAAACACCTTTAGAGTTATTGATATTTTTTTCAATATTGGCTTAATCAATTTTTGTAGGATTGGAAGTTCATAGATTTGAGGACAGTTGAGTGTGACATATCCTAGCTAGCACAGCGCTCCAGTAGCTCTAATGGTATGGATGTACCAATGTCCTGGAGTTTCTCTGAATCCTCTTGCTTTTCCCTTCTGTTGATGACCTGGCTAGTGTGCATGTGACAGAAGGTCAGGTTATATAATTTCTTAGGTCAATAAAATTTTACTTATGTCAGTCAGTCACTCAGTAGGAATTTATTTCCGTGATCCAGCACTGATAGTGTATTTCTTAGAAAGGCAGTGACTATTCATTAGGTGTTATAGGGATGGTTATCTGAGAATCACTGATATTTCTGGATAGCATATGGGTGTATAGACCTTGGGTACTGGCTACAATTAGAAAATATGCATATTTTAGAAATATCAATATTAACAGTAAGAAACTTCTATAGTCCATAAGCACATTCCAAAGGAATAAACTTATAAGAAATCAAAGGAAGAAATGACTCTAACATTAGAATATCCAAGTGATCCTATATCTCTGCTCTACTAGTGACAGAATAATTTACTTATAAAGGAGTACTTAAATTGTCCAGCAAGCCTACAGTGTTTCTTTGTTAGACTTGCTCTCCTCTCTCCTCAGGTAACTATTTCATACCTCTCTCTCTCTCCTTACACCTCCTGTAACCCCTCCCCCACCACTCATTTCCAACTGGTACCCTGACTTTATACTGTATGGCAAAGAGGAATCATCAGATAGAAAGTCATCTTTCACCCTCCAAATTTATAAGCACAGCTGTATCTGTAACCACCATCTCTTTTGTCTTATTACAGAAGCCTCCTTTTATCAAAAACCAATCCCTCCACTTGTGCTCTAGATCCCATTCTTTTTCTCCCTTCTTTCTTAGAGCAATTCTGTTTCCTCTGCTTTATTAGTCTATTCCTCTTTCTTCCTCCCTGTCTATTCTGCATTTTTCCCATATTATGTCTTTGTCTCTTCATTGTTCTTTATAGTCTTAATATTCTCATGACATTCTTTCAATTTAATGTTCACAGTCAACCTCAGAGAATCTGTGTCTATCAGATCAAATTTCAGAGCATCTGTTATGGCCCACCTCCTCTTTTTTAGCCAGATCACATAATAGATTATTAGCCATCTTATGGATTATGTATCTGGGTATCTATCCCTGTCATGAACAGCAGGGAGTGACATGATACTAAATATGGCCCTGAAGCAGCATAGGCCATATGCAGGTCCATTTTATTTCATTCATTCATGTGAGAGGAGCATAATTTAAGTTGTATTTGCTTTATGCAACAAATTGTATCATGGGCATCTACCTAGAATATTGAATTCTTGCCCAAGAGAGATGGAGATAAGATATAAGAAGTAAGTATCTGTGAGGGTAGATTCCAGGAATGCAAGCCTTTTGGGAAAAATTTCTACTGGCAATGTATACTTCTTAGCTCTACCTGCATTGAGTGGAAAGGCCTCCCCCTGAATTCAGAGATGTTCCAGAGTTATTAAAAAGGGGTAGTTTAGAAAAAAAAAAACAACAAAGGGGTGGGTTGACCCCTAGAACCTTGTGACCAAGCATGTAACCTCATGCTTTATTCAGTCCATTTTCCTAGAGAATCTGTCAGCATCAAAGCCTGACATATTTTCTGTGATTTAAAGAAAGCATCTGTGAGCATATGGTAAAGCTAGTGCAAAGGGCTTAATTTTAAAGCAACGTTCCATGAAATGGGGTCTGTTTTTACGGTGCCAGTACTATCTTCTTCCAGAAGAACTATAATTCACAAAATATAGAGTAAGCATACAATCAATACCCCAATGTGGACTGGAGACTAAGTATCTCCAGCTATAAATGTCTCTGTTATTGAAGCCAGAAAGAGTAAATTTAAAACTATTTGGCTGTAATTGAGCATATACCATAGTTTTCCCTTTTCCCAGATATTTTATCACATTATTATTTTCTTTCTCTATATAACATCTTTAATTTTTAAATTCTAAAAATGTTTTGTTGAGTAAAAATCTCAATTTGAAAATCAAACTTTCTAATAAGTATCTAGCCCAATTAACAAAGACATTGACATAGAAAAGTGTCTAATTTTTCTTTTTCTTCATTTCTAGATGCTGTATTATGTAAAAGATATCCCAGCTACCCTGAAATTCTTCCATAGTCTCCTAGCTACCAATGCTAAGATGCTCATTATTCTTGTGTCAGGTAAATTATTTACATTCACTCTGAATTTTAAAACAGTAATAGTGCATATGTGCTCAGAATCATGTGTTTGAAGGCAGCTGCTATATTTTGTCTTCATTATGAAATTCTTGACTTGGCTTCTGATCGTAGTCAATTAATTAACACAGTATTAGGAAAGTCCTTCACAGTGGCTATCAATTTAGGGAGTCTAGTGGAATTAAATGTCTATATACTCCTTTCTCTTGGGAAATTTCATCTTTGTTGTCTATATATAAATCCTTTTCTCAATAACACAGAACAAATACCGCTAATAGGATTTTTTTTAATGAGACCAAAAATAGTAAATATTTCTATTTACCTCCATTTTGTTTCTGGAATGTCTCTTTCCTTTCTCTGATGTTTATTAATACATAAATAAAGGTATAAATATTTGAGAAGCTTTCATGTTTGATTAATTTGTATTTCGAGAGCCATTATCAATATTGTTCATATAGATTTTCTCAAATAATTACCAAAAATTATTATTTTGTTTTGTTTTATGTTACTCTCTTTTTTCCAAAGACAGCATTTGATGTCATGTTGCTTCCAGTATATAATAAGTACCACTTACAGAATGTAAGCAAACATGTTAATCAATGAAACACTGGCATTGTTGAGTTCATTAATTCATCACTTCTTTCATTCAGCAATCTTCATGGATTGTTTACATAGTGCTAGGCAGATTAATTCTAGATATACAACAGCTCTATTTTCCTAAGCTTATAGCACACTCCATACTCAAAACTATAAATCACAAAATTCATCAACTCTTAAGTATGAGGAATGACTTCAAGGATGGCAAACAAGGTTGTTGCCTGTAATCCAAGGTTTGGACTCATGCAGGAGTTTTGCACATGAGAGCTCCTGTATACAACATTTCCCCCAAGGAACATTTTGATACACTATTTTTATCTCTGGTTAATTAAAAATACTCATTTATGTGGGAAAATTCTGTCTTCCCATTTAGAAGGACTTATGCAAACTAGACGCTTGCTACTAACCTCTATCTAAATTAAAACACTTAGGTGAAGTCATTGTACTACATTTGGGAATACAAAGGGAAACTTGGTTGTCACCAGTGAGGACACTCTATTCTTGATAATCTGTATCAATAATAAAGAAAAACTGTTACAGATAGAAATAAGTCATCCAGAAGTCATGTGTGTTTGATTTTAGGATATGTTTCATATCCATAGAAGATCCACTCTATATTTGGTCTATCCTTTTTTTTTTTTAAGATTTTATTTATTTATCCATGAGACACACACACACAGAGAGAGAGAGAGAGAGAGGCAGAGACATAGGCGGAGGGAGAACCAGGCTCCATGCCTGGAGCCTGATGTGGGACTCGATCCCAAGACCTGGGGATCACAACCTGAGCCAAAGGCAGATGCTCAACCACTGAGCCACTCAGGTGCCCCTGTTTGGTCTATTCTTAAATATTTTCAGAAGTTAAGTATTTCAGAGTCAGAAAGCAGTTTTCTATGAGTATATTTCTACCAATAGGAAAAAGTCAGCCCAAGGTTAAGAAAGTGGTATAAGTAGTTATAAACAACTGATAATCGACTAAGTGCCCTTATGAGTACAGTATTCTGTTGGCTATTTCATGAATACATTAATACAATCCGTGGCTCATTGGCATCAAGAAATGTGCAAACCAAAATAGGTGCAGTGAAATATATGATGATACATGCAGCAGGAATGCTGAGGCACTTCTAGCTTTGTGAACTTGGTCTATAAGTCTTAGCTTATTCAAGGGCTATTTCTAGATAATCATACCTACATTTCATCTATGCATATATGTGGTTCTTATGTACTATGTATTCATTCATTAACACAGAAAAATCAAAGAAAGGGAGAAAAGACTCAAATATCAGCTCTTTCTTCAAAAGTATTTGAGGAGATCCCTGGGTGGCTCAGTGGTTTAGTGCCTGCCTTTGGCCTAGGGCATGATCCTGGAGTCCCAGGATTGGGTCCCACGTCGGGCTCCCTGCATGGAGCCTGCTTCTCCCTCTGCTTGTGTCTCTGCCTCTCTCTCTCTGTGTGTCTTTCATGAATAAATAAATAAAATATTTTTAAAAAAGTATTTTGAGGCAAAAGTTATTCAGTCAATGTAGTTTGATGGTGGAAAGATTTGCTCACTTTTTCTGTATGCAGTAAAACACTCTTTATTACTGTACCCAGCATGGAAGACAGGTATCCCAAAGAAGAAAACATTGTTCATAAACATAGTTCCTACACATAAGAATGCACAAATAACAGAAGTACAGTTATTAAAGGGATTCTAATGACTCCCTGCCTTTATCACATGCATTTCTTTCTTAGAAGAGATTTGCACAGCTACAAGAGAAATATCATTACATATATTTCTTCTTAAAGAACCACTTAGCAAAAGAGAAGATAAATTTAGGTATTTTATTTTGGACTTTCCAATTCTATCCTGATGTTAAAGTTATAGCTTTATTGCTTCTATCAGAAGAGTTTTAAGTAAATAAATTAAATATATGTAATTAAAAAAATAATCAACCTTGTTCAATATAGTCTCCTTTTCAGTAAAGAAAATATTCTACTTGAAAAGGTAAGTAAAATTGTCAAATATGTTGATCTAGTCACCAATTTAATATAATCTGAATGACTCCAGATTCCCCAGTCTTAAGGGCTCACTCATAATTCTTACAAATCCAGAAAAGAAAAATGATGGGACCCCTTATTCCAAGTGACTTGGATCACCCACTCCTTGCCCCCTGACTCCTGAGGATCCTAGGGGTCATGCTTACATGCTCATGATGGTTGCCAACCACTGTTTGCTCCAAACTTCTGCTCCTGGTTCAAATTTTGATTTCCTATCTCCAAACCTTGCAAGTCCTTCACCTGCCTTTTCTTATCCTCTTCTGCTTTGCTCCAAATGTAAACACAGCCCTACTTCCCTCATTCTCCAAAGCACCATTCTTTGATTTGGGGAGATGGCAATATTGATGGATGGAAGAACAACAGAAACAGAATTTAGCACAAAGGCCCACAGCCACTCTTTTTCTAGCTGTTCTCCTGCTCATTGGTACCCTTCTCCCTTGCACCTACTCATAACTTCTCCCAGACCTCACCCATATCCTTGTAGCTGACTACTCTTCCTAAGATACCCACTCCTTACTTTCCTCTTGCATCCCTTTTGTTACATGGTGCAGTTTAATGCCCTTTTGCTCTATCTCTCTCATGGATAAACCTGTGCACCTATAAACCTGTCTTAACCATAGAATATATCTCTAGGATAAACTGTATTGCCCCTCAGTGTATGGAAGTGGCTGTAGTATCTTTTTTTAAAAAAATAACAATAACTTCTTTGTTGCATGAACCAAGGCAATACAAATATATGAGTCAGCTTTTAGAAAAATAGATCATGGGGATCCCTGGGTCGCGCCTTTGGCCCAGGGCGCGATCCTGGAGACCCAGGATCGAATTCCACATCGGGCTCCCGGTGCATGGAGCCTGCTTCTCCCTCTGCCTATGTCTCTGCGCCTCTCTCTCTCTCTCTCTCTCTCTCTCTCTCTCTCTCTCTCTCTATCATAAATAAATAAATAAAAATTAAAAAAAAATAGATCATGGCCAGTTTCCAGTAGTGAAAGCAAATTTAATCACAAGAAATTTGCAATCAGATTTGCCTTATATTCTTGTCAATTAACATGTATAGGATTGATCCACATTTTTATTGGTGATTTTTTCATTTGATGATATCGCTTCAAATCCCTATCTACTCAGACCAATCTATAGATAGCAACCAAGTTTGAGAATGCTCGCTGGGTCACATGAGGTGCCTGAACAACTTCCCCCTTCACCTCTGTATAAAAGCCATTGCTCTAACCTGCCTTCTTGGCCCAAACTATAATTCTTGAAACCATCTTCTCCATATTTGACTCATGAAAACATTCCTTAAGCTTGAATATTGCCTTAAAATTTGGAACACATATATCAAAATGGTTCAGAGTAAGTTATGTTATTATCAAGACTTTTGTAGTCATTTTCTTTTTTCTTTTCTTTTAAAGATCTTATTTATTTATTCATGAGAGACACAGAGAGAAGGCAGAGACAGGGAGAGAGAGAAGCAGGCTCCATGCAGGGAGCTCGATGTGGGACTCGATCATGGAACTCCAGGATCACACCCTGAGCCGAAGGCAGACACACTCAACCCCTGAGCTGCTCAGGCATCCCTGCAGTCACTTTCTGAGTGGAATTTGCTTCATAATTACCTAGAAGTGAAGAAACCTGTTTGAGAAGAAGCCTTTGCTTTAAGGCAGTATTGTCATCCACAGCTACACTTCAATGCAGAAAATTGGGTACTCATTGTAGACAATTAAGACAAGCCTAGAACTAGTTACTAAATTAAATTACCAAGAACACTTATCTAGCTAATATCTAGGCAGATAATGGTATGTCTTACTCTAAAGAGTCATCTTAAATATGCCACATGAGTAAGACTGTTTCTTGTCCATCTCAGACACTGATCTATTAACAAGTTATTACTCTGAATAGACTGAATTACTGTTACTTGAGTACCATATGGACACTCACTTTTGCAATTTATTAGTCATAGTATAAGGAAATATGGGATCAGTTTCTAGAATTATGCAGAGACCGAGGTTCGCTATATATTCCATATGTGCCATGTGTGTTCAGCTATACTGAAAACAGTGGACAGCCTGTACTATCAGTCCCATACTGGCTGCACAGGGGATAGCTATTGTGTAGATTTGGTTCATTCAGCTTTTCTTGAGCTTCTACAGTCAGTCACTGCTAGGCTCTGAAGGAGGCAGATGACTACTACTTTTCCTCTGCTTTTGAAGGGCTCTTATGTAATGGAAGACTGAGACAGGTAAACACTTGGAGCAGTGTGCTAAGTTTCTTGTCAGAGGCACATGAGGAGTTTAGGAGAGCTCCTTGAGAGCAGTTCTACTTCTTATCTCTTTGGCAGCTGGAGTACACTTAATAGATATTTGAATTGAACTGAGTAAGTTATTTTTTAATAATTTATTATATCTGCCTTATAATATTTTACTACTTCTGAATGTCTGTCTAAAAAAAGAGACCATGTTTTGGCTAAAATTTACTACATGATGGCATGGAATCATTCTGGAGATTTGAAGGTAAATTTAATAAACAGGAGTAAAAGATTCAATATAGAAGATACACATATACACTAGAGCACACACTGGAACAGGCAGAGAAGACTGATGAAGGGTGGGCAAGCAAAACTCATTAGGAAAAGAAAGACATTGAATTCAGAATTAAATGACAGCATTTACTGTTAGAATACATGTTGCTTGAGGGAAGAGAGACTTTTCTCTGTGATCATAAGTATCACTTACAGAACTAGCCCAGCTCAGTAAATATTCATTTAATTAGAACAAGCAGAAGTTCCTGATTATATAAAGATAAAAGATTTGATTTGGGGATGAAAAGGAAGAGAAATAAAGAGAAAGAGGTAGATTTTTAAAATGAGTTATTCTCACACTAAAATGATATCAGTAGCAGCATGCTTTTCTAAAAATGCAGTAGCCAGGCATTAGTTTTGAGAGTTGTTAGTTAAAATGCAACTTTTCTAGTTAAGGGGGTTTTAGCCAGAGGAGACAATAGTTTTTGTCCTTCCCTCTCCTTACCTAAGGAAGGAGGAAAATCATGGTGTGTTATTTTTAATACAATGAGAGAAAAAGAATCTGGTTTATATCATGTTGGAAACAAAAGTAACGCCATATGTTGTGCCCACTGAGAGCCATTATGATAATGCATCAGTTAGAAAGTGTATAATTGCTCAGCTCAGAAATGGCACCAAGTCACACAACACTAACACCAGCAATCAGTGTCTGGTTATTTTTTTCTCTGACAGGTTAAAAATAAAAATAAGAATGATAATACAGCTTCTCCTCAACCATTGAAATATTTATTTTCTTATAAAGTCTTATTTGTAGGCATATCCTTATTTGAGTAATCACTATCTTTGTAATTAAAGATTTTTTTAATACATAGTCATGATCTTAATTTTTTTTCACTGGACTGAGGTTTTGTTTTTTACTGCCTCATTCCAATTTACCTTCTAGAGCACACCCTGCAGTTATTGCTCCCTCTTCTGAAATATTAGTGGAATGTCAATTATCTAAGCTTTTAAATTTTATCATTTTCTGCCTTAGATAGTCTCTTTTGTTGAGTTCAATCATAACATTTTAGCCCAATCCATGGATGAGGGCCAGGGGTCTTTGAGCATCTAATAATTATATGCATAATTAATAATATGGGTATTTATTGTTTGTGTACTTTCCTGGAAAGTTAATTACTTCATTAGACTGTAAAAGAGGTTTGGGAACAACAACAACAAAAAAAACTTAAACTTTGAAATCTTCACTATTAATCCCGGAAGCTCATAGAAAATATAGGTTCTCACTTGCATTGTTTTGCCAAGTCCAAATTAATTCCCTAATATGTCAACAATATTTATTTACTGTGTGTGCCAGTCATGGTTTTTTTTAGTTCCTTTACTTTTTCTTGCCCCAATCCTATGCATAAATTCTATTGTTATCCCTGTATTGCTGATGATTAAACTGAGGCAGTTTCATAAAGCTAGTCAGAAGAAAAGGCAGGCTTTGTACTTAGGCGGTTGTCTTTAAAGACCCTCTTAATTACTACACTGTATCAATTGTGTATATAACATCCCATTATTATATGCAGGTATTAGAGGATCCACAAGTAGATGCTCATTTGTATTGCTGTATCAGTATTACAGATTTCTGAATAGCAAGTTTGCTTTTCCAGCCTCAAGATTACAACCAATGAAAATACATTATCAAACTAATTCCACAGTATGTTCATTTATTTTTTAAGTACTTTTTACCCATCTGCCATGTGCTTAGCATTGTGCAATAATTCACTTAAATTATCTTATTTAATACTTGCAGTTGCATTTGAGGTAAACATGGTTATTCCACTTTATAGATGAGAAAACTGAGGTTCTGAGAAATTTATAACAAACCTCATATTATTCTTGAAGTGTCAAAAGTACATTCCAACCTGTGTCTCTCTCACTTAGAGGTTGCATCTCTTAGCTTCTACACTGGGCTGAGTTTTCAATTAAATACAATAGACATTGCTAAAATATCTTCTAAAGCTGGGGACAAAATTTGTAAGAATCAGCCTAGTTATTGGCAGTGCAAGGCAGCATAAGTGGAGACATGAAAGGCTACCCCATTTTTTGTTTGAGAAAATCAGCATTGTATTTATTATGCTCTTTCTATTTCAATTCTTACTCTTAGATCCTCTCCTCTGAACTCAAGACTCATGTAAACAACTGCCTTCTTCCTATCACTGTTGGAATATCCAAGAGATACGTATCAATAGACATCTCACATTTACATTTCCAAAACTTGACACCTGATGACACTCTTAAAACTTATCTTCCTTATTATTCCCACTTCCTTTTTTTAAAAGATTTTATTTATTTATTCATGAGAGACACAGAGAGAGGCAGAGACAGGCAGAGGGAGCAGTAGACTCCCTGCAGGGACTTGAACCCAGGACCCTGGGATCATGACCTGAGCCAAAGGCAGACATCTGCTGAACCATGGAGCCACCCAGGTGCCTTTTTTCTTCCATTTTCCAATAATGACAATTCTCTTTTTTCAGATGGTTGGGCCAAAATCATGGGGGACACTGACTCTGTTTTTACTCACACCCAATATCCAAATTGTTGGCAAATCTCACTAGATCTAGGAACATAATAGATTAAAAAAAAAATCTAACCACTTCTCACTTCCAAAAGCTAATTGTTCCAATTACCATCACCTGGCACCCAGATTATTGCCATAACCTCTTTACTGTTCTATTTCTGCCCTAATGCCCCATAGTCTATTCTCATCTGTGCGACCAAATAACTTTATTAAAATGTAAATTAGGTTAAGTCACTTCAATGTTGCATTGTCTAATATGAAAGCTAGATTTGGCTATTGAAATTGGTATTTAAATGAGTTGCAATGAAGTAAAACTTATAATTTATTTCCTTGGTCATACTAACCACAGTTCAAATGCTTCTTAGCCACAGATAGTTAGTGGCTATCATCCATATTGGACAATGTGGATATAAAATATGTCCATCAATCCAGAAAGTTCTTTCAGACACCATTACAATGACTTCCTATCTCACCCCACATGATATGGCACCCTATCCACTTCCCCCACCACTCATCAAACTTCATCTTCTACTCTCCCCTTTGCTCATTGAATTCCAATCTCATTGATTTCCTGGCTAGTTCTTAACATGCCAAAAGCATGTTCCTGCCTCAGGTCCTTTGTAGTTCCTATTCTCTCTACTTAAGGTCATTTTCTCTCTGATACCTACATGGTTTGTCATATCTCTGCTCAAATGTCACATTATTACAGAGACTTTCTGTGACCACCCTATATAAAACAGCAACACATCCAGCTCTTGGACCCTCCTTATTCCTTGCTCTGATTTGTTTTTCATTAGGATCTAGCACCATCTGATATGTGATTTATTTACTTCTGTTTTTAACTTTCCCCCTGCTGTACACTCCTTAAACTAAGCTACCCAAAGGCAAGAATATTTCTTTACCGACTGTTTTAATCTAAACATCTAGTATACTTCCTGGCAGAGTAGGAAAATGAAAAGAAGAATAAGTAAAAGCATGAACTTTGTTTTATCTCATAGGAAACAGTGGCTGGGACAAGCTATGGAAAAAGTATGGAACCCGCTTACCTCAGGATGACCTCTGCCAGTATGTCACATCGTCTGACCTCACGCAGATGCTGGACAAATTGGGGATTAAGTATGAGTGTTATGACCTTCTGTCCACCATGGACATATCTGATTGTTTTACTGATGGCAATGAAAATGGAGAACTGCTTTGTGATTTTTTGACAGAAACCTGCAACTTTAACACAACAGCACCACCTGATCTCAAAGCAGAAATTATGAAAGATCTGCAAGAGTCTGAATTCAGTGTAAAGAAAGAGGGAAAGGTTCTTTTTAATAATAATCTGAGTTTCATAGTGGTTGAGGCATAAATATCAATCATGAGAGTGTACTCAAAAATTATATTTTGAATAATGTTGATCATTTATTTCTGTATTAAAATTACAAACACATCTTGGTATAAGTAGAACATTGTCTCTTATATATAAAATCTAGAAAATTCCAAGACATTCTCAGATTTCCATGCAGAATCCTATAGGATACTCTTTGTCTTATCCTATCCATTCTCCCTATCAAAAGGCCACATTCAGGTTAAATACCACATAAGCTAGAGAAATGAGACAACTAGTTTCACTGGCTTATTGACAAGAAAATCTTTTCCATTTGTTGATTATACTGGAATTTCCCAAAATATTAATAAAACATGTACCATGGATTCTTTAAATACTAAAAAGTATGTACTTGTTGATATATATGAAAAAGTATATGTTTATTGATTTTTTCTTCTTTTATTAAGAATTATTTGCCTGTGTACTTTCCTCTAGTAGTTTCTATCTTGTTTTTATTGATTACTAGATGTAAGCACCTTAGGATATTAGAAAATTCATTGTCATGTGTTCCATTTGCTTCCATTTTATTTTCTCTTTTCTCTTTATTATCTTTTATCTTTGACTTTATAGATTTTGTTTTTTGATATACTGAATTATTTTTCTATTTTATTCAGTCACATTTTAAGTTTTTTTTTTCTTTTTTAATTTCTGGGCTTCTGACACATTTTTAAAGGCCTTTTTAAAACAAGGCTTTAGAATATTTACATATTTTATTATAAAAAGTTATAGTTTCACTTTAAAAAAATAAATCTTTGGTTATGTTTGAAATTTACCTAAGTGTAGAAGTCTGAGAAGATGGCCGAGTAGAAGGGCTCTAAGATCACCTAGTCCCACAGTAACTCATATCAGCATAAAATAACTCAGAAAATACCCCAAAGACTGGCAGAGAAAAACCCCACAACTAAAGGTAAAGGAGAGGCCACATGTAATTGGATAGGAAGGGTGAATATGAGGTGGGGAGCCAAAAGACCCTTGGCTGTCTGCAGTTGAGAGGGAACCAAAGGCATGGAGAAGGATGAGAAACAGTTACATCAGGGAGCCTCCATGGGGAAGAAGAATCCCCAAGACATTCGCCTTTGAAAGTGAAAGGGGCTGAATTTCATGAGTTCTTACAATCAGCAATATGTAAAGCCTGAAATTTTAAAAATTAGCAGGCTTAGCTCTGGGTAAGTCCAATGTATTATAAGAAACTGAGTTCCTGCCCTTAAAGAACAGCACAACAAATAGCCCATGTAAATACAGCAAAGAAGTAGTAGTTTGAAAAATACCTGCCAAAACAGAGAGTCCTGTGTGTTTTGGGGGCCTTATTCCAAGCAACAGGTGACCTCCACATACACCTGGTTAAAATTGCACTCCCTGCCCACGTGGCCTTTGCAGAGCAGCACTGGCCAGCTCTGGTCTTCACAGCAACTTCATGTACCCTATGGAAGAGAACTAGCACCACCTTGTTAAAAGTGTGTGCTCCACCCACTACTTTCAAGAGCAGGAGATGTGGCTGACTTTCCTAACACATAAAAATAGACATGGAAGGTTAGACAAAATAAGGAGACAGAGGAATATGTTCCAAATGAAAGAAGAGAACAAAACCATAGGAAGAGACCTAAGCAATACAAATATAAGTAATATGCCTGATAGAGAATTTAATGATCAAAAGACAGACACTGGACTTGAGAAATGAGTGGAGGCATCAAGAGACCCTTAACAAAGTGATAAAAAAAGAACCAATCACAGATGAAAAATACAATAAATGAAATTAAAAATACACTAGATGGAATAAATAGGTTAGAGGAAAGAGAAGAAAAAATTAATGACTTGGAAGACAGTAATGGAAAGCAAACAAGCTGAGGAGGTAAAAGAAAGAAAATATACAAAATGAGAATTTAGTGACTGCATCAAGGATAATAACATTTGCAATATAGGGATCCCTAAGAAGAGAAAGAAAAGGGAGCAGAAAATTTATTTGAAGGAATAATAACTGAAACTTCCTGAATCTTGGGAAAGAAACAAAAACCCAGATCCAGGAGGCACAGATATTCCCCAATAAAATCAACCCAAAGAGGTCCACACAAAGACAGACAATACTTAAAATGGCAAAAAGATGTAATAAAGACAAAAAAATTAAAGCAGAAAGAGAAAAGACAATAATTTACAAGGGAAATTCCATAAGGCTATCAGTGGATTATTTAGCAAAAACTTTTAAGGCCAGAAGGGAATGGCATATATGCAAAGTGCTGAATGGGAAAAATGTACAATCAAGAATACTTTATCCAGAAAGGCTAGCAGTCAGAATAGGAGGAAGAATAAGGAATTTCTCAGACAAAAACTAAAGAACTTCATGACCGCCAAACCAGCCTTTAACAGTCCCTGTTAAAAGGGGCTACTGCATATGACATGATACTATATATAACCCTAAAGATTCCACAAAAAAATACTAGAACTGATAAATAAATTCAGTAAAGTTGCAGGATACAAAATCAATGTACAGAAATCTATTGCATTTTTATATGCTAATAATTATGCAGCAAAAGAGAAATTAAGGAAACTATCCCATTTACAACTGCACTAAAACCAATAAAATACCTAGGAATGAACCTAACCAAAGAGGTGAAAGACCTGTACTCTGAAAATTATAAAATATTAATGAAAGAAATTGAAGATGACACAAATAAATGGAAAGACATTCCATGTGCATGAATTGGAAGAACAAATATTAAAATGTCCGTATACCCAAAGCAATCTACACATTTATGCAATCCCCATCAAAATACCAACAGCATTTTTCAAAGAACTAAAACAAACTATTCTAAAACTTATATGGAACCAGACAAGACCCCAAATAGCCAAAGCAATCTTCAAAAGGAAAAACAAAAATGGAGGCATCACAGTTCTGGACCTTGAGTTATATTACAAAGCATAGACCAAAACAGTATGATACTGACATAAAAACAGACACATATAGATCAATGGAACAGAACACCCAGAAATCAATCCATAAGTATATGGTCAATTAATCTTTGGCAAAGGAGGCAAGACTATGCAATGTGAAAAAGGCAGTTTCTTCAATAAATTGTGTTGGGAAAACCAGACAACATACAAAAGAATGAAACTGGACCATTTTCTTCTACCATAAAAATAAACTCAAAATGCATTAAGAACCTAAGTGTGAGACCTGATACTATAAATATCCTAAAACATAACACAGCCAGTAATTTCTCTAACTTCAGCTTCAGAAACATTTTTCTAGATATGCCTCCTGAGGCAAGGAAAATAAAAGCGAAAACAAACTTGCACTTGACGGGATGAGCACTGGGTGTTATTTTGTATGTTAGTAAATTGAACACCAATAAAAAATAAATTTATTATTAAAAAAAAACTTGGGATTATATTAAAATAAAACACTTCTGAACAGCAAAACTGGTTAAAAACAACCAACAAGATTAAAAGACAACATACTGAATGGGAGAATATATTTGCAAATGATATACCCAATAAGGGGTTAGTATCCAAAATATATAAAAAATTTTACAACCGCACACCAAAAAAATTCACTTAACAAATGAGAAGATATGAACAGATATTTCTCCAAAGAAAACACATATGACCAACACATTAAAAAATGTTCAACATCCCCCATCATGAGGGAAATGCAAATCAAAACTACAAAAAATATTCCTCACACCTGTCAGAACAGCTAAAATAAAAAAATAAATAAAAATAAAAAAACATAAAAAACAAGTGTTGACTGGATGTAGAGAAAAAGGAACCCTAGAGCACCCTTGGTGGGACTGCAAACTGCTGTACTCATTGTGGAATACGGTATGGAGATTCCTCAAAAAGTTAAAGAGATATATGTACTACTAGGTTTATTGAAGTATTGTTTACAATAGTCGAGATATGACAGCAACCCAAGTGTCCATTGATTAATGAATGGATAAAGAAGTGATTTTATATATTTATTCCATTATATAATGGAATATTATTGCCATAAAAAAGAATGAAATCTTGCCACTTGCAACAACATGGATGGGGCTAGAGAGTATAATGCTAGTGAAATAAGTCAGAGAAAGACAAATATCAAATGATTTCAATCCTTTGTGGAATTTAAGAAACAAAACAAAGGAACAAAGAAAAAGAAAAAAGAGAAAGAGAGACATAAACTAAGAAACAGACTTTTAAGTATAGAGAACAAACTGATGAGGATTAAAGAGTACACTTATCATGATGAGCCCTGAGTAATGTATAGAACTGCTGACTTACTATAGTGTACACCTGAACTAATGTAACACTGTATGCTAACTATATTGGAATTAAAATTTTAAAACTTAATTTTAAAAAAAGGAAATTTACATAAGTGTAAGGAGTGAAAAAGAGAACAAACTGTTTATCCTCACAAAGATAGGTAGCTATACACAATTTCCTTGGAGGGAGGGAAACTCCACAGACTTAAAATGCATTCTGTATCACTTATCAAATTTCCAGAAAATCTTGAATCTATTTTAATCCTCTAGAGTCTCTTATATTCCTCTAATATCTCTTTTAAGAGCAAAAGTCATTCTTGGACAGGATTTCAGAGGATTTTTGAGAGTATTGAATGTGTTTTATCTTTAATGGTGAACATCTATCATTCTTATAAAAGCAGTACATCTCTTTAAATAAGTAAATAATCCAGTAATTTATAATTAATAAGTAAAGACATATTTAAAGTAAGTAAACAATTACTACTTTCTGTTAGATACAGAACAACAGTTAGATTTTACTGAAGAGCTCATGGACCCTCATTCTCCCAGGGATGAAGCCTTCAACATAGTAGAAGGTATTCATAGAAGGTATTTACTCTTTCACATTACAGAGCTACCATTTAACGTTGCAGGATAATCACAGAGTTAACACCTCTCCCTAATCTCCTGCTGAGGCCCAGGAAGTATACGGGAGTGCACAGCCTATTTTTGTTAACAAAAGACCAAACTTTGTTGTTCATTATGAGTAAAACTGGCTTGCATTGCCCTCTTTTCTTGGACAACTTCATCAATGTTTTCTGAATTATCAGTGACAACAAATGAAATGACAGTTAACCAATCAGTTTCCTGAATATGAACCCTGAACCATTAATCATACTGATATGTACTACTGACAAAGGAAATCTGTGAGGCAGACATAATTGATGGATATGGGCCATGACGACCTTGAACAACGTCCCCAAAAGGATAGAAATCAAGACTCTGTAGAGCAAATTATGGCCTTTTCTGAAAAGCACACATACAAAACAAAACAAGAACTGAATAATATGCTACTTACAGATAGAAAAGAATAGTACTCCATAGAGGGATATTTGTAAAAATGGCCTTTCTCATCCCTAAAAACATCACTTACTAAAAAACAAACAAACAAACAAACAAACAAAAAAAAACAAAACAAAAAAAACTTCTCACCTGCTTCAATTTGTTAAGGTAACGGGAACACTTGAGCCTTTAAAACAAAAATCCCCATGAGTACTTACCAGGCAGTGATAGAAAGTTACATAGGTACAAGGAATGAAACTATTGACTCTTTGATTTTGTTCTTTTGGTTCAGAAAAAAAGCCTGTAACATGAATTTGGAATGCTAGTTTATACAAAATATTATTTCCCAGTGTTTAATATGGTGCCATTCATATGGGTCCCAAGTAATGGGTGTTTAGTGAATGATTTCTTTCTCAAGCATTCATCTTGTAACCATGTGTTTATATTCTTTTTTTTTCTGCCTGTGTGTTTATATTCTTACTGAAAGTATAACTCAAGAACCCAATAAAATTCTTTGTTGCCCTTAGTATTTATATAAACCTTAACTTATTTAAAGTATTTCGGACACTTTTTTGATTTTGTTGTTAGGGAGTATTGCCAAAATCCAGAGAAAACGCTAAGTGGAGTGCACTATTACAGGGTTCTGATATTTGCTTATTATAAAAATTGGCAATTTTCTTAATAAAAAATTCTGCCAATCTGTGCACACGTAAAATAGTAATGATTTCTGGTGTATCTCCATAAAAACATACACAAAGGTCACAAAGAATACTAGATCTTAAGTCTGTGAAACTGCATAGACCTGAATGTATATTTAATGTTTCAAATGTTTGCTTAATAGGAGTAGCTTACACAGAATATTTTGTCATTTTAAAGGCATATATACATGTATTTACCCCATCAGAACCTTATTTCTGAGAAAATAAGGACTTCTTGCTAAGCCCTGCAGGGAAATGAATATATATAATCTTGTCAGATGAAAGGCAGACCAGACTTCTGGGTTAACCCTAGTCTGTTAGTTACTTACTAAGTGATCTCAGGTAACTGATTTCTTCTTGATTCTCACACTTCTTCACCTTCAAAATGAATATAATCATAGTATCTACCTCAGAAGATGGTCATAAGGATTTCAGGAGTTAAGCTGCATAAATACACTCATAAAATGGCAGACTCAGGGAATTTCAAAAATAGTAGCAATGCTTATTATTAATTGCTTATAACAATTCAGTATAAAATGCAGAGCAGATAAAAAATGAAAATTAAAGAAAATTATGACTGAGGCCAGAGAGCTGGTACCTAGAGAGGTCAACCTAATAATTCATAACCTTGATATTTCTAGCCAAAGACTGGTGGGCTTTCTGTGTCTACTGGAGCCAAGCTGGTGGTTCATGAAACCAAAGGTGCCATCAGGGTTGGGCCACTCTAGCCCCACGTTGAGATACCTGCCCATCTGATGCTGTAAGTGCCTGTGCTCTGTACTGTCTGAAGTGGCCCCATTTCAACCTAGTCTGCAGACCAATGGGTGGGAAGCTAATACAAGGTGGCAACTCACTGGTTGGCCAGAAATTGACTGGAATGATTTCTCTTGAAAAATATCAAATGGATCCTTTTAATTCTTCTCTTAAAAATTTTGAAATTATAGGGGCGCCTGGGTGGCTTAGTCAGTTAAGTGTTTGCCTTAGGTTCAGGTCACGATCTCAGGGTCCTAGGATGGAGCCCCACATAGGATTCCCTGCTCAGTGGGGAGCCTGCTTCTTCCTCTCCTTTTGCCCCTCCCCCCTTCTCATGCTCTCACTCAGTCTATCTCAAATAAATAAATAAAATCTTTAACAAAATTAGAAATCTAGGGAGATTTGGCATTTGTACTGTCACTCATGAAATATACATTCAATAATATTTATCATGTGAGGCATTGTTCTTAGCAAGAGTGATACTGCAGTAAAGAAAACAAAGTTCCCAATGCTACTGGTGTGATTTCTAGACGCAGTGGGAGGGAAGACAGAAAAATAGATATGTCAGATAGTGATAGACACTAATAAGAAAATAAAAGTAGATAAGGAGAAAAGAGTACCAAAGGGTATAATATTAGTTAGAATTGTGAAGGAAGTCCTTTTTAAAGAAGTGAGATTTGAACAGAAGTTTAAATGAAGTGCAAGGGAAAGACATGCAAAAAGATGGGAGAAGAACATTTCAGAAAGGACTTATAAGTACAAAGGCCCTGATGTGAGAATGAGCTTGACATATTCAAAGGACTGTCAGGAGGCTAGGTGGCACTCTGTAGTAGATGAGATGAAAGGTCTTAAGACAGAGTCAATCCAGAGTAGCTACTGTAGACCATATGCAGGACCTCAAGATGTTAGTTAGAAAGACAGGAATGGGGCATATACAGGAATGAGAGATACCAGGAGTGTAAAACCACATGGCATTTGAATGGGAGATGAGCTTTGGCTGTCTTAAGTAATGCCCCTTGCCATTTCCAATCTCTGTCTATGTCTATCCTGAAAACAAATACCATTTACCTTGCAGTATCCTAGGGCATATCTGCCTCTTGCAACTCAGATGTCCTAGATAGAACAGCATAAAACATTTCACTTGATTCTTACTTAATTTGAAAGATTGGTTATCATTATCCCACTTTGGAGGTGAGGAGGCTAAGGTACTAATAAGTTAAATGATTTAGCCCAATTCTCAAAGCAAGTTTGTAACAGGGTGTAAGCAAGACTCTATATCTTCTGACTTTACGCTATATGTCTGTACAGTGGGAAAATTAAGTTAATGATGCTCTTTCATCTTAGATGTAGCTTGTCTTAAAAGGTAAGACTTCATAGAACGAAATTCCTTTTGCCCCAAAGTTCCATCTGCAAATCGAAGGAAGTTGATCCTATCATAGAAGAGAAGAAGCATCAGAGGGCCAAAGGGTAGTATTAACTCACTTCTTTGAATGGTAAAATAATACTCTTTCTAAACACTATCCTTCACTAGTGAGTTTGCTTTTTTAAATTATTATTATTATTATTATTATTATTATTATTATTTAGTTTGTTTTAATCAAGTCCCAAATACCTGGGTTCTCCCAACCATTTGCCTTGATTTTTGCCTTTATTTCTCTACCACTATTCCTACCAGGTCCCAGGCATCACCAATTTCATGTTTAAATTATCTGTCACCCATATCCTAGTTCCCCTATGATTCATATGCCAGGCAACACACACATCCATAGTACACAATCAACTAATGCAGGTTAGTTAAAGCTGCAGGTTGTGTAATCCATTTCTCAACATGATATACACTGTAAAAAGGCAACTGCAGTAAAGGGGTGGAAGTTGATTTAAGAGGCTCCCCGGGCAACAACAGTCACAATTTTCAAATGTGCCAAAAATTCATTAGGGTTCCATGTCAGATTGCCGTAATCTCTGTAGCAATAGATTAATAAATACAGTAATGCGTTGTTCTGGAGGCTGCAATGACACATTGTGGATATTCTGTATAAGTGGTGTCTTCCCATGATCATATTCTTCTCTTGAGGAATTATCTGTTTCCTGATTTGTCTTAATGATACTTGAAGGACTTTGCAAACAACCTGCCTAGGGTAGAAAATGTTGAAATAAATCATAGGAGCCATCAACTACAGTCCAAGCTTGGTGAGCTCTCCAAAGACATTTGATACAGAAGATGCAGGAAAATGTCAGTACTTATATTTATGTCCTACAGCTAACTAATTTCATGCTAATTTCATTTCTATACTGTGATTCTTCTTTCTACCTGTGCTGATAGATGGATTTCATGAGTTAATTCTCCAGTTTCCAATGCAGGCAGACTGGACATAAATCCCAGGGTTTTGTAGAAGAGACAGTTCTACCATGCTACTTATTATCAGCACAAGCACACTGCAGCCTTGGCTTATTTATCAAGATATTGCTACCATTCTACATGCTTTCCAAGTTTAACCTACTTCACAATAGCTTTTCATGGGAGGTGCTTTACAATTTTTGTGCTTTATTACTTTTATTAGTTTTTTATTATTATTATTTTTATTTCTCCAGGTCTGGGAAAAGACTTTGGGCTCCTTCTCCTTCTTTCTCCTTCTCCTTCTCCTTCTCCTTCTCCTTCTCCTTCTCCTTCTCCTTCTCCTTCTCCTTCTCCTTCTCCTCCTCCTTCTTCTTCTTCTTTTTTACAAAACATACCCAGAAAACAGGACAAGGAAATTAGCCAGGGCTTACTGCTTCAGAATAAACCTCGTGGGACAGATTTATTTGGGCAAGGTTGGCAACCCATGGGTTTCCCATCTGTGTGTCCTAGGAATGGTGGAGTAAACATTGGCTCCCTGGGTTTTCTCTGGTGTGTCTAATTTATAGATTTCCAGCTTGAAAAAGGGTTGATCATGGAAAAAGATTCTCTGCTTAAAAAAAAAAAAACAGACCTTAAAGATAAGGATTCCATAGTAATATTTATCGAGCAGTTATGATGTATTAGACACTGTGTTATATTATTTAATCTAATCCTCCTAACAGGTTTATGGATTAGTAACTATTTTTATCCCAATTTCACAAAGAAGGAAGCTGAGGTTTAAGCTGCTTGTATCACTTCTCCCACATTCTCACAGCTGGTGGAAACAAAATTCCAACCCACACAGATGAACCCCAGGCACCATGTTCTTAACCACCACATCCTGGCTGTCTTTAATGTTAATCCTTGTTAATTCTCTGTTCCTTTCTCTCTCCAAGCTTCATTATAAGAATTACCTCTTAGATGCCGAATTTTCATTCTATTTCCTGGGGACTGATCTCACTTGGTGACTTTGGCACAAAGACAGCACCTGTTTGACTTAGTCAACTTTGATCCTACAATGTACTACCTTAAACAAGCAACTCCTATATAACTGTGGCCTGCCCTTTTGGGCAGGGGAGGACAATTCTAGTGAATTGATCTAGTATTCTGGTCTTCAGTAAGCATATTATCAGTTATTGAGTATCCATAACAAAAGATACTTGGTAATGGCAAATGATAAGGCCTATCTAACTCCAGCTGGCTGGAGAATTATAACAGAATGTGGCAGAGACTATTTCCCAATAGCAATTCTCCCCTTCTTCTCTGGTAACATAATGTCTAATTTTTAATGATATAACTGGTTCCCCAAATGAAGACTGCATTTCTGATACTTCCTTTGAGCTACATATAGTCATATGACTACCCTCTAGCCAAGGGGATGTGAGAAGAAGCAACACAGTTTGTGGGTTATGCTGATAAAGCAAGAATTATGTTCTCCTCTTCTCCTTTTTCTCCTTCTGGATGACTAGAATGTGAATGTGGGAGTGTGCTATCTCAGACTGTGCAGAAGGAGCACCAATGCCATAGGAAATTCAGAGCAACGGGTAGAAGTTGCTGAATCTTGATGTGGTGTGTGTACTGCCTATCCTCAGACTGTTACATGAGAAAGAAGCAACATTCTACCCTCAGTGTTACAATGCTAACTTATTTGGAGTAAGATAATGCCCTAACACAAGAAGGTTAATCTAATTCAAGTCT